TTCACTTACAAGTACTGTAACTTGATGTTGTCCAGAAAGGCCAGCTTTGATACGTATGTGAGCCTGCTGTTGGTCACCGTCCTGAGAGAATTTTCACACAGAAATGATCGTTTGACAATGACATCATGATCAAAACAGTAATTACAGACATTACTGCAACAACGACAACAACTACAACAGCAAAAATGGAAATTGTTGCTTCGAGCATCATCTCGTGCTTTTTAACAGCCTCTATGAATCTTCTTCAATCTCCCCCTCACAGGTCTAAACCATCTCAATCATCCCAAGTATCTAAATTGTACAAATTCAACTCTGCCTCCAAAGTGCACTGGTCTTCCTGTCAGAAACTATACGACACAATAACAAAAAACTAAAGAGGAAGGGCGTTATAATGAAAATAGTCACACGATGGAAGGGTGGTTAATGCTCCTGCCATACAGCAAGATCACTGCATACATCCCACATTGCATACATTCTCTATGGCAGGGGTGTCAAACTCATTTTAGTGCAGGGACCAGTACAATGATAACATAATTACTTGTAAATAACAATAAGTTCACAAGTTTATTAGACAATCTTCATATTTAATGAAATGTAGTGTTATAAAACATATCATAAACATGAAGTGTTCGTCCATTTTATAATTACAAAATTCATTAAGCGGGCCTGATTGAACACCCTAACGGGCCAGGCTTGACCCACGGGGCATATGTTTGACACCTATGCTCTGTGGATTTGTTCCAGGTAATCCCTGTTTACTTGCACAGTCTAAAGACTTGCAGAATTAGTTTAATTGTTAACCCTTAATGGACCAAAATTGTGAATAGTTGTTTATTTCTATAGGTGGTGCTATTGTAGAAGTCCAGACTGTTCAGAGCAGGCATGGGCAAACTACGTCCAGGGGGGGCAAATGCAGCCCATTTGCCTTTTTAATCCAGCCCACCAAACTTTTCCAAATTATGTTATTAATTTATTTTTTCACTGTATTTCTGCCTTTCCCCTGTAATCCCAGTTTTTCCCCAATAGAGGGCATAGAAAACGGACTGACTTTTCCATGTCATTTGTTTTAGTTCATACAAACACCATCTATCTGCTCTTGACCCGGCCCCGTCAAATTTCAGAACCCATAGTGGCCCGCCAGTCAGAAGGATTTCCCTCTCCCATAAAATTATTAAGAAAGTCTTGTTCCATCATTTCAGTTTACAGTGCTAATACAAATTTTGCTCGCAACTGGTTGGAGTGGACAAATAAGTCATCAAGTGCCGCTATACGCAGAAGACAGTTTTGTTTATATTCGCTGGTTGTAAACAACTCAATGCACTGTGCTACATTTACTTCCTTTGGTTTGTGTTGTCTTTTTGGACCCTTTTTGTTCTTTGTTAGCGTAAGGCAGACTTGTGTCCTAGATTATGATGTTACCTTTGTATTAGCAAAGGTTAGTGACATAAGTACTTATGTACAATATGTGGGTTCCGATTTACTTAGGAATGGAATTTCGACGTAAGTCAAGGACCCTGTCAGGTCTGTCTGTTCCTGCTGTCTGCTGTGTGGGATAATTTGTTATCACACTCACCTGTGTCTGCAATTAGCCTCACCTATGTCACCTGGTACTCCCTGTATATATACCTCTCTCCCTCACTCTCAAGCTTTTTGTTGTAGCTGTTCCTAGTCGGTTCCTGAGCAAGTCTGTTGCTGTGCTCAACTCTGTTCGTGTTCTCAGCTCTGCTCGACTTTGCCTATGCTTCTGTACTGGTTTTTGGAGTTTTGAATCTTGAAATAAACTACCTGCACCAGTCCTGCCTGCTTCCTGCCATGTCAATGGCCAATCGTGACAGACCCCCTAAATTTTAGTTTGGTTCTATCAGAAAATTTCTATTTTTTTGGTCTTTCCGCCAGCACCAACGTTCATTCTCATGGTATCAACTGTTGAGTTTCTCTTCCTCTTCACTAGAGTGTTGATCATTTTAAACACTCTTGGTAGACTATTAACATATGCTGTAATTTGGTGCTAAATAAACGAATTAAACGTAATTTCATTGTATATCATATTTTTATCAGTAGTCACAATGATAGATAGACGCATTGATCTTGAGGAATTGTAGGGCACACTATTGATCCAAATGTAGCATCTGTAAACTGATACAAGGAGACACAGAACTGGCAATACATCCGTATGTCAATATTAATATAAGAAGCCTCTACTCCTGAGTCGAGCGGCAATGAGGGACAAGTAATGACTGTTGTTTATTTGCCAACACTTGCACACGAGTGTAGGTGGTGTGATGTGTAATTAAGTGTGAAATCAAGTGTCAGACACTGAGACATTGTTGTCACATGGAAGGAAGTCAATCTCAGCTCAATCTGCATGCAGCTAAAGGAATAAATTATTATTAATAATAAAAAACCTCAACACAACTCTAATAATCTGCCATCCTAATTTATATTTTTTTATATTAATTAGGGAAACTGTGGTTTAATGGTCTCTGCCAATTTTCAGAGCCAGAGGGTGAACTAATAATTGGTCTTTAATTTCACTACAGGTCAAAGCCTTTACGCTTTGTGTCTGCTAAGTTCTGTTAAATTTTCTGATAATGGAAGAAGAAGAAAAAATAGGGATGTTTTTCATATTCTTCACTGGTTTTAAAACCTGACCATTTGCACATGTTATCTGACGAAGTCAGGACAAATTAAGTTCTGTATTTTGTTCTGGTCTGTGACCTAGAATTATTTTTTTAATTCACCCTTTTAAGTTGTTCTACAAGGTTTGAATTGTAAGAATATATCTGAAATATGATAAATGGCTGTACAGAGAAATATAATTTTTACTAGAATTGCAGCAGGGATTGCTTCTGTTTCACAGTCACAGGACTCATTCAGCCTGCCTTGTTGTTTTCTTTGCACTTAATCAAAGCAGCAGGTAAAAGCATACACACTTTCACTGTGCAATGTTCATTGTGCTAAAATGGGATATTGGCTGGGAATTAGGGTAGTGCCTACTTAACAGATTAGTGTGTTTGGAAGGAAATGCAGCTTTGTACACAGTTATTTTTTTAAGTTAAGAATTGCAATGAGGCAAATTAACTCTGCGGAACACAAAGGGGACACAGTATCATAAAATACAATGGCACAAACTGCATGATATATTATATATGTGACAAAGGCAGGAGTGGAAGCATATACATCGTCCATTGTCCCCATCCCTTCGACGCATATGTAGAGTGCAGAGAGTGTGCAACATATATTTATTCCTTTATCGAACGCGTAGTCACATTTGCAGTGATAGAAGCCTTAAAGACTCACAGGTTCCTGAGATTCTTGTAGTAGTGCAGGTCTTTGTCGTTAATTGAGGAGAAGCTGCTCTGGTTAGCGATGTAGCTGTCAAGAGATACAAGTGTGTGTCACAAGACTCATTTGTTAACAGTGGCAGGGGGAAAAAACAGAAACATTTCAGTGAGACAAAGGTTCACAATAAGGCCTATATAATTACAGTTCATCATTAAAATTGAGCTCTTGACAAACGGGCGCAGATTGACAGAATAAAGGACGAGCAGGGGGTTGTTTTTCTCACAATAGAAACACAAACACAGGCTTTGAGTCTTTTCCTCTGCCCGAGAGAAGGCACTTGACTGGTCAGGTTTTAAGGGGGGCCCCTCCTTCTTTCCCCTGTAAACAGGTTCTGAAATGTAATACCTGTACTTTTTCAAATAGCACAGCTCTGGCATCAGATGTCTGAATATTTTGGGGTAAATAAAGCCTTCACATGGAACTCAGGACAACCTTTCCTCTTGAAGGGTCATGTTGAAAACAACAGCCACAGCAGATCAGATTGTTCTGCAGAAACCTTGTTCCTTCATGTCGTACTCTCGGCTCTTGCACTAAATTGTTTGTTTTTATTTGGTGACCCACATCAAAAACTATTGTTAATATGTACAATTCGACAGTTTCCAGGATCATTACGAGGCTATTGTAGTGACAGGTCAATGCGATGTGCTGGGTGAGAACATTGTGTAATTTAGACCTAAATAGTGACGTTTTAAATAATTAAAGACAAAAAGTTGCTAAATGAGGATTGAAGAGAAGCAACAAACCCCAAAAAACCTGTGGTAAAAATAGCATCCTGCATTTGCCTTAGGCTCTAAAATGCAGTGCCACCACACAGACCTCTAAATCACAACACCTCCCTTTTTAAAATCTCCACTCTTTCTACTTCATCTATTGCCAGGTCTCTGCTATCACGTTCTAATAAAACTGAAAAGCCTGAAAAATTATGTTTTAATGTATCGACAATTCCCCTGCGATAACTCAATAAGCCGATGCAAGATGTCAGCATTTTCCTGCAGCTTTACCTCCACCGGTTGTTAAGACTTATTATCTGAAAACCAGCATTAAAACACTTTCAAACAGAAGAATGTACTTACACTGGAGAACAACTAATAAAAATGACACATTTTAAGCATCAAGTGATACTCAAACTATGCACTTCCTACTTAAGTCATATGATCTGGATCAAATTTCACTGATAAACATTTTTGTAGTATCCATAAACTATTTCTCTGTGTTATTTCACCTGCTTCGATTTCTATCAAACACCATTAGATTTAAATGTCCGTTACCCCTCTTTTTCTTTTTTTTCTTTTTTTTGTCTGTCACACGCCTGCCTCTGCACCAACACCTTAGCCGTCAGGTTGCTCTCCATTACTGTCCACTTATTTTGTTCATGATTTATTACAGGTTATAATTTTAAGGATGCATTATTGTGCTGTATTTAGAGAGACCTTCACCTGAGGCTCACTGAAGAACACTGCTTCTTTATTCATTTACAAAGCTGTGCTCCATAAACTGTCTGTGCAGCTGCTGTCATTCATATATCATGGAACTGGATCAAACGGATAGAACCGATCTCCGTTAACATACTGTGCAGGATTCATCTACAATACGTCTTATAAATGGAAAATGGTTTGGAGAGAAATTTCATTTAGAATATGTTAGAATCTGGTACAAAATAAATATATATAATTTAATTTTGCTTATGGGAGATGATTTTAATGAAGACCTGCTTATTTCCATGTCTTTCATGTGAGTCCTGTGTTTTTGGCCTGTCATATATCTGCAGGGAAGTAAATATGCTGCTTCAATGCGTCATATTTGTAGACTTTTTCAAAGGAAACTGAATTTCTTTTTTTTTTGGTCCACAAAATAGATGTGGAAAACAAAAACATTAAAATATCTACTTTCATCTGGTAAGAATACATTTAAACTTATAGATTAGTAAACCACACTGCTTATAGTAACAACGAAGAATTGCTCACCCAACATTGCAATTAGACACTAATTTTCTGTTTCAATTCGTGTTCAACAATAGCACAATTATTCCTACAGGCAAAATTTTAGACACAAATGCATTTAGTAGGTTTTTTTATAACTTAAGTTAGAATGTCACAAATTATTATTTTACATGTTTTTTCAATAACGTATGTGTAAAGTGCCTGAAAAGACTTCAAAAACGTAAGTTTTGATTATTTAGTCTTTTTAAAACATAAAACAACCTAAATATCTTTTATTTTCTTAACTAACATTTCTGTGAGTACTTTGAAATAGTCTTTATTTTATTCCTCTTATTTATTAATTTTTACACTTAACTTTCAACTTTTTGTCTTTTTGAACAGATTTCTGTGTTATAAATAAATAAAGAGTCTAGTTTAATTTTATTTTAAACCCAAAGGGGGTGGGGGTTACCAGTCCAAAATCATAGTTGTAATTTGTGACATTTTCTTCACGTAATTCCACCCCTCACTCAATTAACAGCAGACATATGGTAGGATAACCTGTCTCTTTTAGCAAGGTCACCGGACGATCCGTCGCACTGTCACCACTTGTATTTGCCTGCATTAGATGAGCAATCAGCCCGCGTGAATGAGTGCTTTTCAGACCACTGTTGCCTCATTTCAACCCCGTTCAATGCCAAAGACTGTTTATCCTTGAAAAAACATCATTATCAGCAGGGCTGTTTTTCTGTGCCAAGAATCACAAGTGTTGGGGCTAAATAACTATTTCAATCTACCGTTTAATTGCACCCAGATACAGGCTTCACTTTATGTTAAATTCTAGGCCAAATGACGTTTGAAGGAAAAAGTCAGAGAGAAAAAACTCGGCGTTTTGAAGGCACCTTAAATGGTCTTTCCCTCACACTTGTGACATTGTTATTTTTTTCCTATTCCCCTGCTTCATTTGAATGCACCAATAAAAGCCATCATGGGAAGTGTCTGGGCTAAAATTTTGGACACTGCCGTCTGCACGTTCACATCATCCACATCCAAGGCACGGGTGCGCACACAAACACCGACAATCAACTGACCTCTCCTCAAAATGGGCTGTTTCCAGCCTGCTGCTGAATGACTGTGAGTGAGTCCTGCGATGGTCATAGGCCCAATTCATTATTGCTATTTAAAATGATCACAGTCGTCAATTTTGCATCAATTGTGCATCAAATAACATTCAGAGAGATACAAAAGGGCGGTTCGCGGGTTCTGACATTCCTGTCAGAGGGTGACATTCCTCTGTTTATAAATGATAGGAATGCAGCCACCTTTCTGTGAATGTGGACATTTCAAGATGGATCACCAAAATCTGTAATGCTTATATAGACACTCACATGTCGGTGATGTTCTCCATCTCTGCCTCGCTCTGCAGCACCGGGAAGGCAGTGATGCCCCCCTCCGGATCCACGCAGGAGATCCTGGTGCTGCTGCAGGAACAGGAAGAGGGACATGCCTCCGTGGACATCCACGGATCCGCGGAGCCCACCGTCACCCCGAAAACCCACACCCACCACCACAAGCACCGCCACGACCCAGAGCCTCTCCACGGCACGAAGAGGTTGACCCCTCTTCTGGGTGTGAAGGTGCTCATTTCTTGTGCCAACTTCAGCTCTGGGGCTCGCTGAACAGCCCCACGGCCCGGCCCAGGTTGGCTGAAACCAGCCCCGCTTAAGCAAAACGGATGAGCAGAGAAATTAAGGAGGAGGATCCGGTGGTAATTGTGGACACAGGCGGCGCAGCTACAAGACCTTCGGTCGTGACAAAGAAGGGAGACCGACGAGACAGAGCGCAGAAATGTGCGGAGACAAAAAACAGATATATCGGGGCGCGAGAGCGGGTCCTCCGGGTCCTCCACCGTCCGCCGTCACTCAGCCAGTCAGTCAAATCACACTGACGGGTGTGTGC